ATTCATTTATTATTACAGTATACGGACAATGAGCTACTTCTGAATGACGGGTTTCAGTTCCAATATAAATAAATCAATATCCTTGGACTTTTTACACTGAGCTCCTAGTCCCAAACTAAGCAAAACTTGTACTATGGGTACTAGACAACAGATATAGAGCTGATAAAACGTAAGTATTTTAATATTCTATAACCACATATAATAAATCACCTAACGCTTTTACACCCTTCCGTAGACATAACAATATGGTCAAAGAATGATGATATTCTTAAATACGCTCACCGAATCGCAATTTTTGTATTCTGCTTAACTGTTGCATACAAATGTGACTAAATTTGTTTCATTATACAAGTACATACGTTCTGACCAACTTTTCATATAGCTATAGCCTTGCACGCGAATATAATCCCTATTTCTAAAAAATAAAAGTCAATAGTCGTTAACTGTTTGAGTGTATTCGAAGGTAATATTCGAATTTTAGGCACTTGCCTGTTATTACGTGCAATTGAATGAATGAATAAATGTTTATTTTGCACAGTAATGCATTAAATAAAATTTGAATACACTTGAATCAATGATTCAGTTAACATAGCAAATAGCTCTATGAATAGAAATAACATAATAATAATCGTAAGCTTGATCACAGTATCTATTTCAAATATTCATACAAAATCAAAAATAGTTGTTTTTGATTTGAATATAATTATGTTTAAACACTTTATAGTCAATCTCTTTTAAAATCAGATCAAGATTTAAAACTACTCGTAGCTTGTCAAGAAACCAGTGTGGAGTGGGCATGGAAAGGGATGACCTTCGTAAAATTCCACGTACAAAATATAGACCATAAATATGTATATTCATATATAAAAAGCGAGCTCAAATTCGTCAGAGACATACTAAAAGTAAATTTAAAAGCTGTTTTTAAAATATTGTCGTATATTGTTGACGGAAATGCACTGTGTTAAATAGTATTGTACAAAACTTGAAACCGTAATTAATTTATAAACAAAGGTCATCAAGTAATGATCCGTAACCATAGCTTTTAATCTTATACTTATAAGAAATAAGTAATTAAATATATTTTCTAATATTCACAATAGTATTAACATTATTGAACTAAAGTTCATTAAATGGAAACATGATATTTGCATGCTAACAAATAAAAGTAAGTTGAGGTGTGTAATACTTAATGAATGCTTTATCAAGCATACAGGAAGGTGAGTCCGGCAAGGCTGGCCAAAACACTTTAAAATGTTGGTTAGCTACGAGCTAATGTCGAATATTTCACGTTAATAAACGTTAGTCTATATTAAACTCTTACTCATTAAAGTTATTGTTTCGTCAAAGGATGGGACTTGATGACATTGTTTTTGCTTGACGGCACATTGTTATGATGATTAATTTATTTTAACACACAAAAGGTGAATTTTATTATATGGCTATATGGCATTAAATAGAATTATTTATCAGTTAACTTTTGTGCCAAGTAGATTATGGAGTAGAGAATAGATTACTGACTGATTCTAAATTAGTTTAATCAATGAATCATTGTTTTTCTCTTACGACATATCAATCAAAGAGCCATACGAGTATAAAAGATGTGAGTAATTCAAAAGTTATCAGACATTATGACCAGACTAGACTTCATCAATTGACTTTTACTATCTAAGTTCAATGACCTTACTTTTTAACCTATGCCAACATGCCACAGGTCATTCAATTCAATTCCTTCTTCAGTGACAGAATAATGGCACGGTTGTTGTACGAAATATTGGCTTATTAAACATTTATTTATGTTTGTGTGACAATTTGTTACAAATAAAAATAAATATTGTTCCTTAACTACTAACTTTAGTTCTCATTGATAAATCCATCCATGCCAACAAATCCAGGTGGACTAAGAATAATAAAAATTAATAAGAGTAAAGTAATAGAAGAGTATCTATTGTTATACACTTGGTTTGAACGTTTAAACGATTCGATTACACATTAGTATAGACGCCAAATACAATACGCCAAAGTCTCTACAATAACAATTGAAGATTTTAATCTCTCATCAAACAACCATAGATTTAATCAGGGCATGTGTAACATCGACATATTATTATCGACTATCGATAATGTTCTCGAAGGGGTCGAGTTACGTCACTCGTCTGAAGGAACGGCGCTCTTGCGCAATACCCGGTGCGCGTGCGCTGAAACCGGCTTTCAGTAATTTTATACTTGGTAACACTAGTATTAAGGAGTTAGTTATCCTTGAATTTGTGTGCTAATCTATATCTCTAAAAGCGAAAGGCCACTGACTGATTGACTGACTGACTCACTCACTCATCACGAAATCTCAGAAACTACAAGTGCTAGGAGTCTCAAATTTTGCATGGGGATTCCTTTTAAAACGTAGGTGTTCACTAAGACGGGATTTCGCAAAATTCAACCCCTAAGAGGGTAAGACGGGATCCACGCGTACGAAGTCACGATACTAGTACGTAGTAAGTACTTGATATGTGCTTATTTGTATTTCAGTATAGTATGGAGAATTTCAACATAGTATGGAAAGACAGCATGAAAATCATTGGGGGAGGTCTATGTTCAGCAGTGGACGTCCTGTGGCTGAAAAGATTTATTTAAATGTATTCAGTATTGACATTCATTAGCACAACAAAGAAATGAAATGGATGCTGAAATAAATATTGTGAAAATGTAATGATGATGATGATGATGATGATGATGATGATGATAATGTACCCATATGAAAAGTCTAGAGCTAAGATCAAATCGATATTTCCCCATTGATATGGAATTGATCAGCATTTAGAATGATTATAGTAAATGATGGTCTCAAGAATCATTGAGATGTAAAAATGTTATAAAATCTGTTTTCGTCCTCTTTATTATGAACTAATAGAGCATTCTACTATACATAATATTATATGTATATTAAGATTTAGCTGTTAGCCTTGTGGGATTACTTTCTAATCCATGTACCTATCAATAACTAAATTACGAACCAATGAGGGCTATCGTTTGAGCGCTCACCAGTTAGCGCCACTGTAGAGTAAGGTCCTGTCACTTGTTAGTAGCGAAGACAGTGGCGCTAACTGGTGAGCGCTAAAGTGGTAGGAGGACTATCGCAATTGCACTCATCAAGATGGCGCCACTGTAGAGTAAGGTCCTGTCAATCGCCAGGGGTGCCAACTGTTAAGTAAAAAAACGATAGCCCTCATTGAAGCAGTCACGTAAATCACCTATAATGCTACATCAATCAAGTAGGTTGTAGTTGTCTCAAGGTATAGTTATCATCATTGTTTAGGCAATGAAGCATTCATTATTAGGTTTCGATGCGACAATAAAAATATAAGATCATAATGGTTTGGACATTTCTTGGGGATATAGCGAAGTAATCGAATGGATATCGAACGAAACCGGCTATGGGACAAACCTATTACGAAATAATTAATCGCCCCAATTGATTTTGAAATGCATTTTGTATTCGTTTAAGGCGTTGGTATACATAATGTGTTGGCGACCGTATAAGCCAAAATAAGTACTCGGCAAAGTAGAGCAAACCTTGCGATCTTAATTTTACATAATGTATGAAATAAACTATTAATGTAGGCCGCACAAATCACTTTTACCGATCAAGTTTCTTTGTACATTTTCGGCATGTTGGTGACATCACAGCACTGATGACATAGGATTGTATATTATGGTACAACTGGCACGAATTAAGTAATGGTTAATTCATTACAAGGTCATACTTGTTCTGATTGAGGTACAGGTTTATGGAAGCCAACCAATTAATACTGACATCACTATGGATCGATCATTAGTGATGTAACGCCACCAAATGTCAAATTACCGTTTGACGTAAGTAAATAGCTGTATAAACTGTTAAAAGCTGCATGGAACATTTAGGATTAAAACTAAAAGGAGAGCAAAGAGAAAGGTATTTAATTTTTTATCTTCGACTGTGTATTTCTTTAGCTAATTGTGTACATTTGAAGATTAATAATACGCGTCGCTTTTCATTTGTTTATGAGAATTTTTCATGTGTATATGTAATAAAAGATACTGTAGAGATTGCAAGTATGGATCAAATAAATCAATATTGAGCTAAACAGTAATTACTTATGACTTTTTCTCCAGTGTTACTTATATTCACTTATATTTGTATGAAAGCTTGAAGCCAGTTATTAGTTACTTCTGTTTCATACAAAAGACGATCTATTTACAAAAGCAAAAATCTCTGAAGGTCAATGAAGCGTGAAGTATTGTTAGATAATTGTTTACATTAGCTGTCAATGAGTTAAGTGGAATGTTTATTTTAAACTTTGTGTTACCTTATTTTAAAGGTCAAGAATAAAATACAAATTTTTATTTGACCTTTTCACAATACCAAGTCTTAGCAATTGTTTAGAATTTATCTTTTATATAACAAAGATGAGATAATGATTTTGAATGTTAAACAGATTTTTTTCATGTGTATACAGGGTGTCCCAAAATTAGCACGTCATACTGACACTGGACATAAGCATCGAACAAGCTTAATATGTCCATAGAAAAGTTTCATAAGTTTTAAGATAATAATATGAGCAATTTTGTTTATTCATATCCATAGAAAAGTTTGATGAGTTTTGAAAAATGACTCGTATTAGTTATTTTAAAAATGGACTTAATATACTTGTTAGGTGGGTCTTAAGCTCATTTACCTCTGGTGTCAGTACGTGCAAATTTTGGGACAAAAAATACAGGGTGTATTAAAAAATTTTTTTCAAAATTGACTTTTGTACACAATATACTAAAACGATTGTTTTTATTTGTATAGAGAACAATAGTGTGACCTAAAGAGGATTTAGGACGCTATTTGGATCAAATATGTAATTGCTCAATAATGAATAATAAATAAATAAAATAATAATGTTCACTTTTAGCTAAGTGCAGAACTAAAACCTAGTCAGACTACTTTCAAATACACAGTCGAAGATGCCTTTCAAACGTACCTCGATCGGTTGCAGCGTGTTGTCGTCGGCCAGCTGTCTCCTGACCCGCACGCTCGTGAGGGGCGAAGCGGCCGCGACGGCCAAAAGAGCGGTGAACGCGAGCGCGAGCGTACGTGCGTTTACCATCGTGCGGAACGGTGTACTGGCCTCACGCCTCAATGCAACCACACAGCCGCGGGTGGGGCGCATCGCTTGCACAAACTATTACGCGCACACGTGCGTTAATGACGAAATTACTGTATGATAATGTTTACATTTTTAATTTTTGGACTTTTATTATTATTATTATTGGTTTTTGGGCCTTTATTTGCGCCAACTCGACCAGGTTTGATCTATTGTGGCAGCCCTTGTGTTTAGAGTTCACTGCTTAGTCCCGTTGAGTCTATAAATTTCCAGATTCTTTGGAGCGTGATATCTGCTATCTCATCCGGGTGCATGATGTGTCGCCCGAGATGGATACTTCTTTTGCTCATAAGCGGGAAGCATGAGCAAAGAACATGCATGGCCGTTTCTTCTTCTGTATGGCAGAATCTGCACAGAGTTTCCTCGGTCATGTTCATGTTCGATTTATGTTTGTTTAGTTTGCAGTGGCCGGTCAGTATTCTAGTCACTGCACAGGCTTTGTATCTTTTGAACTTGAGCAGTTCCTTAGTTACTTTGTTGCTATATCCCTGAATGAGTGCTTTTGAGTGTTTTTGTCCCGATGTAGACTTCCACCACTCAATAGCCTCTTGTTTGCAGAGGGCGGTTAGTAGCGTGGTGGCTACTTGGTTACGTGGCTACGTGGCTACGTGGTTTTTGGACTTAGGGGCCATCGATAAAGTACGTCACACGAATTTCATGATTTTTTGACCCCCCTCCGTCCTTGTCACAGGTGGTCACATTTCTGAGACCCCCCCTCCGTAGTGTGATGTCACATGTTTTGCAATTTCACATCGAAAAATTATTAAATTAACAGCAGTTCCGAAATTACTTTTAATTCCATTTAAATTAAGTACTTTTCTTATGAAATCAACATTATGTCAAATATTTGAAACAATTGAAATGTAATGTCACGAAACTTAGGACCCCTCCCACCCCTTGTCACACTATGTCACACTTTGTCAACCCCCTCCCCCCCTCTTTGCGTGTGACGTACTTTATGGATGACCCCTTATTTTGTAAAAGTAGGATTTGAGAATTGCGCTTATTGTTTAGGCTTGACATGACATGACCTTGAATTAACAAATTGCAAATTTTATTTCTTGACTAAGGTCATATGTCCCCTAGATGGGTCAGAGGGCGTCCACAACAGTCCTCCATCGCGTTCGGTTTTGAGCTTCGCGTTTGATCTCCAAGTCTTGCCGATCTTCTTCGCCTCTTTATTAATAATTTTATTTCAATTAACATAATCTATATATATAAAAGAAAGTCGTGTTAGTTACTCCACTTATAACTCAAGAACGGCTGAACCGATTTAGCTGAAAATTGTCAGGGAGGTAGTTTAGAGCCAGGAGAAGGACATAGGATACTTTTTATCCCGTTCGAAATTAAAAAAAAGTCTGCTTATTTATTGCCATTAAGGCGGAACAAAGTTCGCCGGGTCAGCTAGTTTTACATAACAATATGTTCACTAAGCACGGTATTTTCTGACAATGATGTTGCATTAGAGACATGATCGCTGGCGTCTAACGCGTTGATGTCTTTTGTATGTGATATGGATCCAATTGATTGAACTGCTTTAATTATGCGTTTATTCACAACTTTACTGCACAGAATAAGTGTTTTTAATTCTATAAAGAACTATAAGTCAAGACTTTGTAAAAAAGAAACAATAATATGTGGAATCCACTTTCGGAACCATAAGTAAACAATGTCCGATGTCCCTAGAACCTTAAAAAATGCATGAAAGAAAAAGCAAACAGTCGAGGGGTTGAAATATTTTTCCATACTAAGGGGGTCATGTCATGAAATAGGTTGAAAAATACTGCCCTAGAATGATGGAAAATGTTACAACATAAACAGGGACCAAATCCTTGATAGTAATCGATGTTTTCTGAAGACATCCTCTGCGAGCTGTGAATAGTCGGAAAAAGGGAAAGATCTGTAATGTGTTTGTTATAATAAATAAATAATAATAATAATAAAAAAATCTTTATTCTCACCATTATCTTACAAATAAGGTACATAAGACTGATTAAAAGGAACATTTTACCGATTATGGCGGGTTGACACCTGAACTAGGAAAGATCCTGTATCTCAGGTTGCCAACCCTGAAAATATCCTTGGACATTTTACACTACGCTTCTAGTCCCAAACTAAGCAAAGCTTGTACTATGGGTACTAGACATCGGATATAAACATACTTAAATACTTTTTTTTGTAAATACATACTTATTATACATAGAAAACACCCAGTCCAATACAAACAAACATGTTCAATAGCAATGACAAATATGTTCATGCACACAAAAGTTTGTACTGTGCGGGAATCGAACCCGCAACCTCTGGAATAGTAGTCAGTTTCGAACCACTACACCAAACGGCCGACATAATATGGAAAAAATGCTTTTCTTTCAGCTGGTTTTCTGAATTTTATACTCAAGTTACTTATAACGGATAATCTAATCTTTTTAATTAACTTGTTTAATTCAACCCTTCAGGGAGAATATTAGGTACAATTAATGTTTATTCGTTGGAGGTTATGATCTACTTCCTATACAAAAACTAGTATTGACTGTCACGCAAAATGATATTAATTGGATTATTTTTAACCTTTTGCATAATTTAGAAAGGAAATGTAGTTTATGCTATATTTAGCTATGACCTCCAATTAATCTAAGTAAAACCACGTGGGCCGCATGCAAATGAGAAATGCATTTGGCTAGTGCATACTTAAGGTAATAACAGTAAGTATGTATGTGTAAATATAAGTGAAGAGTGAATCTGTATCAGTTTACAAATATTATTAAATTAACTTAAGTTTGTCTTTAAATTAAATATACACAAATACATAAGGATCTATACTTTTTCAATTAAAATTGAATTGTCACTAACGTTTTTTTTAAACATTTGACATTGACAAGAACAAGACAAAACATAATTTAACTAAAATATGAACATCTGTAATTTCTAATATGTTTACCTTCCTGCTAAAACTTCCTGTATAGTAAGTTTTCAGTAACAAGATCATCATTTATTTTACTGAAAACTAGCCCCAAGGATGAGGGGAGGCCTTTGTCCAGCAGTGGGACGTCATTTGGCTGAAACAAATGAACGAAAACTAGCACTTGCATAAAACATTGAATACTTCCGCCCTTTTGTATTTTTTTATCATCACGCTATAATTTATGTACTAAAATTGCATTTGAGTAACGTTAGCCAATTGAACGCTCTATTAAAGTATTATAATGCAGATTAGATGAATTGGTCGATTTAAGAACAATTGCGGTTCTCGAGGATTGCGAAAAACACTCGTATGGATTGCAGGAAAATTACTTTGCGTAGGTATAAATTGCTAAATGTATCTGGAAATAATGTTTTTCTTCAATGTAAGTACAGTTGGAAGACTGTAGTTCCAAGGTGTCAAAGTGGAATTATGAGTTCCCATTTAAGACCTAGTCTGGTGTTTCGTTTCATCATCATCATCAATTCAGCTACAGGACGTCCACTGCTAAACATAGGCCTCCCCCAATATTTTTCCCAGATCAGCCGGTTAGCAGCGACCTGCATCCAGCGCCTTCTATTTTCTTTTTTTACCCATGAAAATGGCCTATCCATACCTACCGGGGGAAGGCAAGTTATGTGGGGCTCGAACCCACTAAAAACCTGGGGCGTTCTCCCTCTGCCGCATAGTGGTCGGCGTCTTGGGTACTGGAAACGTCCAAAGCGCAGCCAGCGCCTTCCTGCAACCTCTGTGAAGTCATCTGTCCACTTTATAGTTCCTGTATCAAACTACAAATCTCACCACACTTGTGGCTTTGAATCTCGTAAAGGACAAATATTAATGTTGATAAGCACGAACTTAAGTAATACGAACTTGTACTTGTATTTATTGAGTAGTACTTGAAAACGTGGACATTTTTACATAGTATGTTTGTTTGTGTATTTAAGTTGACTTATTCGTTGTCTAGTGACCATGATAAAGGGACTTCCCTGAGTAATTGGTTTGTGAAAAATATGATGCCCTTGAATGGGTTTATGTATAAATGATATAACTAGCAATAAAAGGCAAAATCAACCTACCTCGTATGTATTTACACAATTTTATTCAAATTATAGTAGATATATTGCTTCTTCAACCGTTTCTCAATTTCTATTACTTATCCAAATCCTTATCTTTTCAAAATCTGTTTACTCAATTTTTAAAAACGATACCTATGTATAAACTATTTGTGAAAACTATTTTGGCAAATGTGAAGTTTAATTGGTAACTCTATATGTGTTATAGAATGCTGTTTGTTTTCCTAACAATAAAATAAAATAAAAAAAATAAAATAAAAATTTTGTTCAGTATATTATCCTACGAGTACCTACTCGTAAAGTGTCAACTAGCCTAGTATCATTAAATATGGTTAAACCAATCTAGACCATGGTTAAACCATAAACGTTGTGCATTATGCGAATAAAAACTATTTCGGTTAGTTTGGTAAATAGGCTCCATGTGCGTCACTCGACAAAGTGTTTCCACGAAGACATAATGGGCATTGTTATACTTACGGTAAAAAAGGCTTCGAAGCGAATTACCCTAGGGAAATAGCGACAAAGTTTACCTTTTTGTTAGTATGCTAAGTGCATTGTCTAATGAACAACTAATTGGTGTAACAAACTTTGGTAATGACCAAAATGCATATAATTTTACTGGTAATTTTCCTGGTGTTACTGGGTGTTTTCTATGTATAATAAGTACTAGCTTTCCGCCCGCGGCTTCGCCCGCGTGGATTTTTGTCTGTCACAGAAAAACTTTATCGCGCGCGTCCCTGTTTCAAAAACCGGGATAAAAACTATCCTATGTTCTTTCCCGAGACACAAACTATCTCTATGCCAAATTTCATCAAAATCGGTTGCGAGGTTTAAACGGGAAAGCGTAACAGACAGACAGACAGACAGACAGACAGAGTTACTTTCGCATTTATAATATTAGTTGGGATAAGTTGGGATGTATTTACAAAAAAAAAAGTATTCAAGTATGTTTATATCCGTTGTCTAGTACCCATAGTACAAGCTTTGCTTAGTTTGG